AAAGGAATGAAAATTCATCAAAAGGAAAAAAAACCCAGGAACCATGTTAGCGAGGTCAGTTTGAATCTAATATTTTTTAGGCTGTTTGATATCTTATTTGATATTTTTCACAACTCTGTCTGCACATGTGGCCTTAAAGTGTTTATGCAAATCATCTTCTAATTGAACATAACTGCTAGTTTAGTGGAAAACATGTTGCAGTGCTGAAAAGGTGCTGCAACCACTCACTGCTGTGCCATTTTTATATCAACATTTCCCATCTTTACATTTACATAAAAATACATTTATCAAGTGTTAACTGCCCCAAAATAACTCCTCCACTTTCAATATGAGCATTGCAAAGTAAAGCCTCACGAGAAAGTCGACCGTCTCAACGTTAACCCTCTGCTCTGTTTTGATATATTTATAATAAATGCATCACCGTGGAGTAAATGAAATCCAAATGTCTCACATAGAAGTGCTCATAGAAAGTGTGAGTATGCACATTAGTGTGAGCAGAGTATCATAAAAGTGTGCGAAAGATTACCACATATGTGGGTTAAACTTCAGTGGATGTTACTCATCATAATGAAAATTCAGTGACAACATTTCAGCCTCACCTGGCTTCTGTTTTAAACCTTGTATTAAAGATACAGGTGTGATCAAATGTCTAAATTCAAATTTTTTTTTAATGTTTTTCCACGGTGGATGAATTGTGCAGCATGCATCTTTAATGACTTTAAAAACAATAATTGGGTGCACAAGTTTATTTTTCATTTTCTGTAATCAATGCAGGTTCAAATATGTACATACATCCCCAGTCATATCTGGTTAAATGTCCATTAACATGTTGAACCTCAACCAGATGCTTTTTGTAGCAATCAACAAGCTTCTGGTATAATTCTGATCGGATATTTGACAACTCTTCTTGGCAGAATTAGTAGAATTCATTTAAGTTGGTTGGTTTCCTGGGATGGAGCTGCATTTTAAGTGTAGTCCACAAATTTTCAGTAGAGTTAAGGCCATATTATCCATTCCAAACTATTTTTGCTTTGCATCACACTTTTTCAAGTTTTACTATATCTCGGAGAGTAAATGCTGAGTGTTTGCAGACAAGTCGGCGTCTTACGACTGTTTTAATCTCCAGGTGACCAAAGCAAACGCAAGTAGGTTAATGGTGCAGCACACTCTTTGCAGTCAATCCAGTTCAGAACAGTTGACCTGTTCAGGAGAACGCAAGGTATTCATCTCAAAAGGGTTTGCACTCCTTCTTCAAACGATCCAACCTTTTCCTTTTAATTTTATCCTGCTTGGTTTTGTTTATTCATCTGCACCCCTACTCTTTCACCTTCACTGTGCCTCTTTGTTTTCTTATTGTCTCCTTTCTATTCCCCAAGCCGCTGAGCTCCTTTGAGAATAATCTCATTTGCTGGATCTATCTCAATTCGAATGCATACTGTCTCGTTTAACAAATCGCCCAGTTTCACTCCAAATGCACACCTTGCCCATAACAGATGCCTTCAGCGCAGAGGAGTGTGCAGCATAATGCGGTCTCTGTAGAAAAAGGCCTCCAGGGGGGCCAGTAGTTAAATTGGAGGAGAGATGGGATTCCCATTCCAGCTGTGACGAAGATGCAAGGTGCTTAAATTGTTATCGCCTCAAGCGATAGGCAAGTCAAGGATCAGAGCTGAGCTGATGGCCCAGTCAGGAGACAGGGAGCAATGCTGCCCAGTATGGTTGCAAGACTGAGTATTAGCCACCTGCTCTTTCACTGCTCTGTTGCTCAGGCTTGCAAGGGCCATAATGACTGCCTCGCTGCTGAGGCGCTTGTGTCAGCAGTTTGAAATGACTCTCATTCTGTGTGCCTGTAAGCTTTTCTGCACTGAACACCAGGAAATGAAAAATATATCGGAAGAGTTCGATCACAACACAATTACATTACCACAGGCATTTGATGGTACAACATTTCACCAGCAGCGTTACATGAAATCTCTTACAGAGAACTAGTGTTGTGTGTTGTTGTTGGGAGCATCAGGTTTTAGCTCTTTAGTGGCCCTTAACCCATTTAGGAAACACTTAACTAAAACAAGGGTGATTAAGTTGACTGGATAATTTGGTCATAATATCATGTTGTTCCACCTGAATCTACCTGCTGCAGAAGAAATGTTAGTCACATTTGTTAAATGCTCAAAGGTGGTGCAGCTCCAGAATTAGCACCACTTCTGAGTCACTGTTGTGTTCACCTGATAGAGTACATGTAATGAATGTTGGGAGATCTCTTTAGCTGCTATGCGCTCCATTATATTCAGCTGGTAGAGCCATTTAACTGAAGTTATTCGCCGGCTCTGTCAATCAATAACCTGAGAGACCGTTAAAATTATAGACATTATATAAAAAACAGACAAAGCCTGAAGGTTTTGAAAAGTGAAGCCAATGCAGAAGTGCCTGAAAACTGCATTATTTCTGTCAGCAGGAGGTAAGAAAAAAAGAAGTCAAACTGTACAGGAGTTTGAGAAAATGACCCCACTTCTCACTCAGTGTGCAACCTCTGTAAACTCAACCAAATGCATGTTGCAGATCTCGGGAACCTGCCTTTAAGAGTGTAGTTTTTTGGGGGATTTTACACATTCAATTCAATTCAACTTTATTTATATAGTGCCAAATCATAACAACGGTCACCTCGAGGCACTTTATATTGTAGGGTAGACCCTACAATAATACAGTCAGAGGAAAAACCCAACAATCATATGACCCCCTTTGAGCAAGCACTTTGGCGACAGTGGAAAGGAAAAACTCCCTTGAACCCCCTCCCTGAACCAGGCTCAGGGAGGGGCAGCCATCTGCTGTGACTGGTTGGGGGGGTGAGAGAAGGAAGACAGGATGAGAGACATGCTGTGGAAGAGAGCCAGAAATCTCTGGCTCTGGCTCTCTTACACATCTGTATGGCTACATCCATCTCTGCATAACAGGTTATATATAATTATCCTTATGTGTGGAGACAATGTATCATTCAATGATGCACTTCAAGAGCATCATTGCACAACTGAAAGCAGAAATACTTTTTTTTTTGTTTGTTTCCAAAGACGTCTGGATGCTACGTGTTCTGTATTTAAAAGGAAAGAAATCACATGCTACTCCATCATTAGCGGCTCAGAATTCTGAGCTGATGTTAATTATTAAAAAAACCCCACACTGTTCAACTTGTAGATTTCTGTGATGGGAGCTGTGCTTCAAAGGGCGGCTTTTTAAGCTTCCATCTCGTGCTTGACACTCCATTTGGTGTGAGTGGCTGGCACCGTGCAGTGTGGGTTGCACACCTGTGTCATAACTGTCACTCTGGTGGCATCTGCATATTTCAAGCTGTACTTTTTCCAGCCTGATATGAATATCAAGCAGAAGACTTTTGCTACTGCCTTGTGTATGTCTGAATACCTGCAGCCTGTGCATCATTTACAATTGCAGCATGGTGTTGTTTCTCACAGCGCTGCTGTATAACTCACATTTGGTGTACGCCTCAGGGATGCTGAAGTGACTGAGGAGGGCATCGCTGTTTCTGTGTGTAGTCTGTAATATTTCTCCAAGCCCTGACAACCCAACAACTTATCTGTGCTCCAGTGTTTCAGGTATTTGTGACAAGTCAAAACTAGCTGTTGAGATTTTCCATTTTTAGGGCATGAATCCTTTTTGTTGGCATGGCAGGACATTCACTTACGGTCTGGTCAAGTGCTGCGTTCTGCACAGCTGAAGATGTGTTGGTCACTTTCCCATCCCAATTCAGTGCAGTTACTGCTCAATTTGCTGGAACATCTGTGACAGTCTGGCCCATGTATACGAAGAATAGCCTAAGGTTTGGATAGTGCACCTACATGGGTCCATGTCTGAGTTATCCCAGCTGTAGAAAATTGGCTTTTGGTGTCTGAATTTCCAAATTTTTAATATAGGTAGCTGACTGGTGCAGATAACTCATAAGAGGCCTTGAGTTATTACAGGATTTTTTTTATGTTAGATTTTTAGCCCTTAAATTAAGTTGTAGCTTTTATATATAAAATATATTTATATATAAAATATATATAA